TGTTTTAAGTTTTTCTATATTTTACAATTTTTAATGAAGATAATTTGAGTTTTTATATATTTTTGCTTTGCTGCAAAGTGAGAACTGAATTGATTGAATGAGAAACATATCTCTGAAATTCGAAAAAATAAGTTTAAATGTAGCGCAGAAAAACCTTGTATATTTTAATATGCTGTACAAGGAAGTCATGTGGTGCAAATAAAATTCACATATTTTAAATAACTCAAAAATAAGCTGCGCTTGAAAAATGAAAATCGGAAAAAGAGATTCTTCTAAGGTGATCAGAGAGCACTTGTTTCAGCCTTAGGAAGATTCTTATATTTGAGTACCATATAATAACTAAGGCAGACTGATGCAAAAAATTTATTTCCATATGGCTTAACATTAAAAAACTTAGTGAAATAAGGCATCTAAAAACTATGAAGGCAATAATCACTTACGTCTTTCATGTGCCTTTGGAACTTTGTATTTTTAAATTAAATTTAATGGTACCCTAATCCTTAAAAATTCTCATTGTTTACTTTCATTTCAGGTACAGAATTTTCAAAATATTTTAGCCTCGATTATTCTTTAGAAGTCCACATGGTCGTGTCTTAAAACAATAGGAAAAGGGAATTGTAATCAAATAAAAATAATTTTATGTTTATTGTATTAGATATCACCACCACTGACGTTAAATATTGTATTTAAACGTTGTTTGGAAACAAAAGTCAAAGAGTGAGACCACATTGTGACATAAATCATATTATTTAGAGTCATGTGGACATTCATTGCTTCTTTGATATAACGTTGACATTGAAAGGAAAAGCTGAAATGAGAGCGTCACGTAACCCATCGACAGAGACTGAAATGCTACCATTGTGCTTAAATAGAGAGAGGTTGAATTTCAAAGCAGTTTTTCTTTTTAATTCTCTTTGCAAATATTTCTTTCAATTTCACTGAAAAAGTATTTCTTTCATTAACTCTTGTAATATGTAAAAAAAAAAAAAAAAAAAAAAAAAAAAAAAAAAAAAAAAAAACAAAAAAAAAATGAAATGTTTCAGATTTTAATTACGTCCAAAGGGGCGTTTCTAACATTTGTGTGTTACCTTTCTTTATTAAATATCATGTTCTCGCTTAAACATAAGATAGTGCAACAGCAATATCGCAAAAATAGTTTTAAAAAGAGATATCTTTAGAATTTCCGCTACAAAGTCTTGCGAAGCGGTGAAATTCCCCCCCCCCATACAGTGGTTGCCATGCTCACTTGAATCATCGATTTCTTATCAACAACTCCTAAATGCTATACAAAATAAGAAATAGATAATAAAACGAATTCCAAATGGCCTCAGATGCCAAATTCCAGTGGGGACTACGTTATTAAAAATTTGATGTTGTCTCTAGTACATTGTTTTTTTCACAAGCGAGAAACAAATACACTCATGCAATCTTAATATTAAGTTCTTTTAAATATATTGCGGGGTCTACTATTTAGTGACAAGAAATGAAAAATGAGAGCATTTATAGCGAACCAAAGCACAATGCCAAATATCAATAGCCTTATGGCCTAACGCTATTTGGCGTAGAAAGAAAAAAGAAGACCCCATTGAAAACAAAAAAAAAAAGAAAAGTGATAACCTTTTTTTAAATAAGTTAATTAAAAAAAAGAAAATTCTAGATATGTCGCGAATAATTTTTATTATTTGATCAAGATGTTGGTAGTGGAAATAATCAAGAGGAAGTGCTCCATCATACCTTTTCTCGGGCTTCCAGTTTGTAAATCAGACTGGAGGAGGAGTAGTAGCCACCCAAAGGTAGAAGCAATCTGATCAGAAAATGCTCTACAACGTACGTCTGGAAGCTAGTGAATGCTGGATATGAGTATAGATGTTTCACATACCTTTTTGAAGAAGAAAAAAAAAAAAAAAAAAAAAAAAAAAAAAAAAAAACACCAACGTACTAAAAGTCTAAAATGGGAAAGCCTCAAATGGGACATAACCATTTCGTAGAAATGTTCTTCTTTATTGTAAAACACATTTGGCATATTTTTAAAATACAGGCTAAGCCTTGAAAAGAGTGGATTGTAATGATTTCTCGAACACTAACTCAAAACACTTAGATACTGATAAGGTAATAAGATTTGTCTTCTGTTTAAAACCTAAATTTCGGAAATATTCCTAGAACATTCTAGTATAAAGACGATCCGATAGATATCTCTGGGAAAATTTCTGGCATATGAAACAAGCGGATATTGGGATATTTTACTGACATACTCGTATCCTCATATTCCCTGTGGAATATCTCAGAGATTTTCACATTATGATATGTAAATTTCAAAAGGCCTACTCGGAATCAAGGCAGACACCTGCAAGGATGTTTTAATACAGCTCTCCCAAGCTCCTCCTCTGCGATATTCTTATATTCTTTGAGGAGTACCTGAGGGATTTTCTTGTGCTGTGTTCGACGTTATGATATCTAAACTTCAAAAAGCAAAAGCCAGTTATAAATTATTGTACGAAACTTGTACTGAATGCCAATATCGCAGATGCCAGGATAGCTATTGAGCTGGATTGTACAAGTAATACTGAAATCTGCAGTATTCAAAGAAATACAAATTTTGTGGTATAATTGCATGAAGAGAATATCCCTTTATTTCTCAGAGGGTACAAAACTTTGTGAACTTAACAGAAAACGCACGACTTTCAAGAATTTTTTTTGCAATTTCAGAGAAGCTATTCCTTCCGCTAAGAAATACAACCCATTTGAAAGAAAATGTTCTACAGTACACAATAAAAAGGGAAATCTGGTTTAAGAATTGAGACAATGAAAGTTATCCTAAATTTCGATACAAAAGTGTGTCGTAGAATTTAGGATGTATATGATAAGGCACAGAAATATTAAAATACTGTAATACCTTTGTCTCGTTCTGCGCCATCCCGATGCGTTGTTTTTTTGCTCAAGGAAACATGATCAGCTTATGCCACAAAGCTACTTTATTCGGTATTGATGACAATCATGTGATGTTATTAGATCCAAACTATCCTATTCTTGTTTTTTCAGTTCGGGTTTCGCGTACCAAAAGGAAGCTCAGTACATATATCTTTTAAGAGGGATTTCCGAAATTTCCTCGCTTAAGATCCCTATTTGGACCCTGAGGTATTAGAAGATTTAGACAGTATGTTGGTGTTTTTTTTTTTTTTTCTTCTTCTTCAAAAAAGGTATGTGAAAACATACTATACATCATATCCAGCAATTCACTAGCTTCTCAGACGTAAGTTGTAGAGCATTTTCTCGGAATCAGATTGCTTCTACCTTTTGGTTTGTGCTACATTACTTCCTTCCTCCAAGGTCTGATTTACAAAACTGGAAGCCCGGAGAAAAGCGTATGATGGAGGCCCTTCCTTCTTGGATTATTTCCAACGTACCAAACATCATTGATACAAATAATAAAAATTATTCGGCGAAATAATCTAGAAATAATTTATTCTTTTTTAAAATTAAACTTATTTAAACAAAAAGGTATATTTCACTTTTCTTTTTGTTTTGTTTTCATGGTTTCTTTTCTTTTTTCTTTCTAGCGCAAATAGGCATTAGGCCAGAAAGGCTATTGATTTGGCATTTTGCTTTGGTTCGCTATAAAATGGCGTCTCATTTTTCAGTTTCTTGCCACTAAATATTAGAGCCCCGCAATATATTTAAAGAACTTAAATATGAAGAATTTGCATGAATGTATGTATGTTTCTCGCTTTGTGAAAAAAAACAATGGTACCTAGAGACATCAAATTTTGAATAACGTAGTCCTCCACTGGAATTTTGGCATCTGGAGGCCCAAATTTGGAATTCGTTTTATTATCTATTTCTTATTTTGTAAAGCATTTAGGAGTTTTTGATTAAGAAAATCGATGATTTCAAAGTGAGCAATGGCAACACTGTAGGGGGGGGGAAAATTATCACCAGCTCGCAAGACTTTGTATCGGAAATTCTAAAGATATGCTCTTTTTAAATATTTTGCGATATTGCTGTTGAATTAAATTTGATAGTTTAAGTGCGAAGAACATGATATTTAATAAATAAAGGTAACACACAAAACATTAAAAAAAAAGTCCCTTTAAGCGTAATATAAAATCTGAAAGCCTACAGATCTTTTTTTTTTTTTTTTTTTTTTTTTTACAATATTACAAAAATTTAATGGAAAGAAATACTTTCTCAGTGAAATTGAAAGAAATATTTTCAAAGAGAATTAAAAAGAAAAACTGATTTGAAATTCAACCTCTCTCTATTTAAGCATAAGATCATTTCTTCAAGTTTCGACGTAAATGTAACTGCCTTTTTTGATAGCTGACTAAAATGGCAGTGTTTTCAATTAAGATGGAATATTTAGAGATGCAATACCCTACTTCGCTTATCTATAAGGTGAGAAACAGATAAGCACAGAAACTGTGAACATTCTTGTCAAACAAGCTTAAAAGTGTCATTCGCACCTGATAAGATCAAAACCACGCCTCCTTTGTTTTCAAACAGTTTGTTAATTTTCTCAACCAATGAGATTTTCTGGAGATGTGATGACATTGTAGTAACCTATGGGAAGAATTTTCTAATCAAGAACACGTATACTGTATTAAAAAAAAGAGCGAAATATAATGATCAAATGGTTAATTTAAGTTTATTACGGAATTTGAATGACACTTTTATGTGCACTGGCTTCGTTTTATGAAGTAAGTTTATTTTATTTACTTAAATTAATAGATTATGCGTAGTCTGCAAAAGAAAAAAAAGAACTATTATTTTTAGCTAGTATAACGAATATTTTATATAAAATTAGCATTCCCCTTTAAATATGAATTCATTAATAATAAGAACTTGTTTTTAAATAATTTTATTGAATTTTTATAGATAGGTCCTCAATTTTGAAAATATATATGATTTTAAAACCGTGAAAATATAGTTTTTAAAATTTTGATAGTGTCTGAGGAATAATTAAACATAGAGCAAAAATGAAAATTTAAATATTAGAAACAGTTTATAAAAATCAGTCATAATTTATTTGATTTAAAAAACGTATTAAATATATGGTTATACTTATTATATTACGAGTATGTTATAATAATGTTTTCCAAAATATTTTAATCATTAAATATTATAAAAGGATTAACTGATTCAATCAAAACGAATTTTGAATACCGTGAAATTTACTTCCTAGCATTTTAAAGATTTTTTGTATATGACTCTAAAAATCATTCAAAAAAAGGAATTATTTTAAAAATACATATATTTTTAAAAAAATTCGTTCATTTACGACTTTTGTCATGATAGCAAATTATGAATGCACCGGTAAATATTTTTGAAATGCTGTAGAAATTTATCAGGATGTAAGGCAAAGATGTATATTCTATGAAATGCATTGTAAAATAAAATAATTCTATAAGTAATTAGTTCTCTAAAATAAAAATAGTATTCTATAAAAAATTTTTTCTTAAAACTTTCAGATTTTATATTACGCCCAAAGGGGCATTTTTCTTAATTTGCAGACACATACAGGTTTCGAGAGCATTTGGGCTAATGTCTCTTTCTGCTAAAAATATTTAAAAACAGCGTATTTTTAGAATTACCTAAAAGTAGCCTCGCGCGCTGGAGATGAAAATCTTTTTTCAAGTACAATGCTGCCATTGCTCGCTTTGAAATCGTTGACTTTGTTAATCAAAAATTCGTTAAAGTTTTAAAAAATATGAAATAAACAACAAAACAAATTCCAAATTCGTGCTTCCATGTGCCCATATTCGGGTGGAGGACTACGTTATTCAAAGTTTGATGGCTCCAGGTACCTTTACTTTTTCTCAATGCGAGAAACATACATGCATTCATGCAGATTCTTAATTATTTAATTTCTTTAAATATAATAGAGGGCAATAATATTTGGTGGCAACAATTTGAAAGATGTGAATCCAAGTTAACATTTTATTTGATTAATAAATTATGAATGATTTTTTATTCATGTATTAAATTTTAAGATACTTAGATGGTTGAAAATTACAGTTCTTTAATTTCCGACAATGCTGTTGAGGTTTCTTGATTACAAATATAAAGAATTTTTTTGTTTACTATTACTCTCGAATGAATGTTTAAAGTATTTATTAACAGAGGAAAACATAATAAACGTTTAAAAATTACCATTGCTTATCAGTTTGATTACCATTCCTGATAAATTATAGTTTTTAAAAATTAAATACCTAAAACTATTTTTATTAAATGATTAAATTATTTAAATTTTCTAAAAATTAAAATTTAAAATTGTTATTTAATAATTTGTAGTGATTATTGGGTTTACATAATTTAGCATAAGATGATTAAGAGTTTGATGATAACTTTCGCTTTAGTAGAAATTAAAATTAGGGTTTTACTAGATTTTAATACTAAGTTGAAGCATTTAAAGTGTAGTGTAGCTCTTTGCTTTCATTAATAAATTTAATTTAATTAACTTTATCTAGTTGTATGCAACAAATTGATTGAAAGCCTTCGCGGATAATAAAATATTATTATGAATAATAAGGATCGTGTATGTATAATAAGGGTAATGTATGTAGCAAATAAAACTATTTTATTAGTAACAGCAAGTGATTAATAACAGTATTAAATGAAAACTAGCATATCATTCTATGCTAAAAATATTAAAGAATAGAATTAACTCCAGATTAACCGGTCTGTGTTTGAAAAAAGATAAGTTGGCTTGTTGTGAAACGACGAAAAAATTATTATCACAAACCACCTTTGACAAAAATTAAATGACAAAAAATTGTTCAAAAATTCTGTTTTAAATATTGTTCTGCAATGTTATTTATAACTCAGTTCCTTCATTTTTAATGATGTTTATTCTTCTGTTGTTCTATATTTTCTTCAACCGTAAGTTTTTTTTTTCCTTTTAGTTTTGATCTTTTATGCAAGAACGAGAACATGTTGTGATCTTATTTAATTTATTAATTTGTAATTAATTTTTGCTTACAATTTTGTTACAGTTATAATAGAATTGCTTTTTGCACTTGAATATTATTATAAAAAATGTATAGTCCAAAATTTTTTCTAAGGTTTTAATTATCAGCATCTTAAAATTTAAATGCTATTGAACTAATACCTTGCAGGTCAAACCAACACTATCCTCTGCTGATCTTCTTTCTATCATTTACAATGTGTTCATTTCGTTTTGAATAGCGATTCAATTTGCGTAATCCAATGAAATTATTCTCCAGAATTATTACCTGGAGTATTTATGAGTTATTAATAGCATTTTTATGTTAACTACAATATGGAATATTATTCTTTCCAACTTTTGTTTTTTAAATTCTCCTTAGATCAACTGAAGCTTGGTACAAATATAATAGAAATATAGAAAATTAATATGCATCTATTTATAAACTAGGAAAATTCTTGCAATGTATCAAACCGTTGCAGATCACGGTTTCAGTTAAATGAAGGATTGTTTTGTTATATATTATTTATATATGTATTCATTCCTCCCTCCCCCTCAGTTGTGTTGTTTGTTTTCCTACACTTTTTTTTTTTTTTTTTTTTTTGAAATGGTACCTCACCTAACATTCAAAAGAATAAAATAAGAAAAATAACACAGCAACTGAATAAAAATAAAGAAATAAGAGGAAATCTAAAATTCATAGATTTATTTAATCTTGAAACAGCTCAAAATTCCTCAAAATTCGAAAAAATAATTGAGAAAATCTGCGCCAAGGTAAATTTCCTGTCCTATAAATCAGCAAAATGTTAAACATGCAAAAAAGAATGGCATGTTTGTCTAAAAATAAAAAGAAATTAAAATAAGATCTCCAAGTGTTAAGGAATGAGTGGTAAAATGCGTATTCCTAAAGCACGCAATTACAATATTACTAAATGCAAATTAAACTTATGAAAGCGTTTTGGGAGTAAAAATGTAACAACCACTAATTAGAAGAATGAAAATATTCTTGAACAGTACATGATAGGTAACCAAGTAAGGACTAATTGACACATTTCATGTCGCGCAGAAATAAAATTCCACGTCAAATAATGAAATCTAAAATAATCCCTACTCCAATGCAATGGTTTTGAAACTGTATTTCGTAGATCTCTGAGACTTGGCTAGGAACTCCGCAAGTAAAAATCAAAATTCGAAAGAATTTTGTGAATATCAAATACATCCCAAAAATTAAAATTTAAAATAGTAATATTGATTAAATAATATCTTTTTTTTTTGCTTTTATCATTATCGAAAATAATACGAAGTTGGTCAGTTTTCACTTGAAAAATTATAAGGAAACAATATTCTTTTCATATGCTTCATAAAGTATATTGCTTTTCTAATATTTACCTTTCTTAGCATATTAGAGGTTCACAAGGCCGCCCAACCAGGATAGTGGTTAGCGACGCTGACTGCCGTACCGAAGGGCCCGGGTTCGAATTCCGAAGAAGGTATGGATGCTTGTATAGTGTCTGTGCGGCAGGGGGGCATTCTAAATGTGGGGCGACCCGAAAGTCCTCGCTCAGGTTTGGAGGTAGGAAAGAGAGGTGGGAGGCTCTCGAACCCGTCTCCCCGGGTGCTCTCCATCAAATTTGGGTTAGAACTGAGCAAAGTCATTCTGTCACCTGTATGGTGCTCAAGACTTTTACCAAAAGACAGGCGTTATCTTGCATTCCTTGCACGCGATGAATTTCGTGAGCTTGTTCTGATGTTACTGTCAGGCAAGTGAGATAAGTCACAACAACAACAGCAACAGAGCTTCACAAACATATATATTTTGTGGATCTCCATAAAACTATATCTCATATTTATGTTTTAATGGGTTCGCTGATTCGATAAAATACTTTTATGGGTTCGCCATGCAAATGGGTAACAGAAATTTAATGCAGGTACAATTCAGAATTCCACTGAATACAACTAAAAAAGTCTTCAAAAAAGGGTACAGGCAAATTTCAAAGGAATAATCAGTAAACTAACTCATTTCCTCGGAGTAGTAGAAATTAATCATGAAGTCTATAACGTTCGGTCTGATTCGTAAAGTAAATTTAGGATAATAATTCAGAAGTTTGATAAGACAAGTGGATGAATTAAATTTGTTGCACGGCTTCACTGATTCGCCAACAACTCAGAATTCTAATTTAAAAAATGAATCAGACAATTAAAAATTCAGCCACGCGATACCTTTTAGTAGAAATGTAAGAAACGACTACAGCCAGTAGCAGAAAAAAGTTTCAGAAAAGGATTTTCACAAACGTATTCCCCAAATAGTTGACAAAAATCAGACTTTCACTATCTAAATGATTTTTGAAATATGTGAATCCCTTCAGCATTCACGATCGATTTTTACTGTAATTTAAAATAATGCTTACTCATACGAGTAGGGTAATCAGTCGAAAAGAATAAAAAGTATACTTTTCCTGAATTTTTCACCTACTATTTATTATAAAAAATTCCTATTTCAAAACTGAGTTTCAAAGTACCTAGTATGTTTCATTGTGTACAGCTTTGTTTTTCCTTCATGTAATAGATCTAATTAAGGAAAATGAGGAAATCTAATTACTTTTTATTAAGGAAAATTTACGCATTGCATGTATCATACACTAAACTGAAATGCAATTCTTTTTAAAGTAAAAGACATTTAAAGCCGCCCAGACGGTATAGTGGTTAGGAGAGCCTACTGCAGTATCGAATTGCCTGGGTTCGAATCTTGGAAAA